GTAACCATGTTTTTTTGTATAACCACAGTTTTACTACAAATACCGTGGTTAGTGTAGCAAAAGCATTGTTAATTTATGTGTGATGGTGGATAAATTCAGAGATGCAGTTTTGACTGCTTTAGGATTAACAGAGTTTGGATAGTTTCCATGTACTCATCTAGATCAACTTCGAATAAACAAAGGAGGTTTAGAGCCAGATTTGTGTTAATGTATGTGAAATCTAGCTAGCAGGAAACAAATGAATTAAGTTATATTTTCCTATATTCTCGTTGGATCTTTAAAACCGAAAGAAAAGTCACAAAATGAGATTTGGATGAACATTAAAAATCTGACATTGCAAAACAAGTGAATGAATCTTCCTCAGAAGAGACAAAAACAGCAACTCTCTTCAATGTCATAAAACAGAGCTACATTATTAAAACGTATCTGTCTGATGTGTTTTGATAGGTTTGAAGAATATATTAAAATACTTCAAAGGGAAAGTAATAGAAACCTTATGAAGTCAACCTCAATAGAACATTTAAATAATTGAATTAGAAGATAGAAATGTCATAAAGGTGTAAGATTTATTAAGTATTAATCTGTGAAGGGTTATGTATAATCAATGCGTGACAGTCTACTGTAAAATACTTCTAAAAGCTCACATGCTTTTTATTTCACACTGTTAAAGTTCAGAAAAAAAGAGCAAACGATTAATATTGTTCAAAGTCCACATTTCACAAGAACAATTTTATTAAAACCAATGCACAACACGAGCACAATTTACATTCAACAATATTTGTCTTCCAAAGACCTTGATATTTGTGATACTAATAACAGAAGTGGACCAAATCAAATGTCTTTAAATGTCAAATCGGGATCTTTTCTGTTAACAGAAACAAAGTCGAAAATAATAAAGTGGCATTCAGTAGCATACAGATTCTGTCATATCTATCTAATTCTGTAGTAGTATAAATATCTTAAAAGTGCGCTTATGGTTTATACAAAAATGAGCTCTATTCATCGACACTTTTTACATTCCACATCTAACATAGATTCAACATTCAAAGGCATAGGACTTCACTTCAAAACGAGTCAGAAAAGTAATTCAAGTAATCTTACATTGCAAAAAGATTTTAGTCGAAAGGAAACGGATCGTGTTGTAAAAATTCAATACAATACTTCTAGAAGTGAATATACAGGATTCATTTTACATGTAAACTAGTAATTATGGGGAAATGAAGAGTAATTGATCAACTCTCTGCAGCTGCTTCCCAATGACGCCACTGAAATGATCCAGACTCTTTTTAAAGCAAATTATAAAGCGAATAGTTTAGTCAATAAACAGACTAAACAGATATTATGCAAGGTTTGAACATTTGTGTTTTATGATGATCTGTCACATGCATTGAAAAGAAAGTTAAAAGAAACATATTTTGGCACTTTTCAGTAGTTCACATAGATCACATACTGAGCATAAATATCAAAACCTTGCAAATATACAGAAAATGAATGTCAAATTTAATTTAATTTCTTGGTGTGACTTTAAATACATAACTAACCCAACCGGAGTAGATTAAAAAGATTAAAAAAGTAAAAATTGTTAAATTAAAATCTAGCAAGTAGAAATAACAGCTAATCAAAGTGCAAAATGAAATCACTAATTATGGCATAAAGTAGAAAATAATTAACAATAAAATTCCACTTGGCATAAAAATCCTTAAAGGTATCCCTCAAAAACTGAACAAAATAAAGTTTAAAAAGGAAATATTTCATGCTTTCTGACTTATGTAGAAAGATTGCATAATGATGATAATACCTCGGGACATCCAAAGTGCATATCCTTTTTTTTTTTCATTTTTATTTATTTTTTGCCTTCATCTGCATTACTAATTTTATTTATGACTGAGGTGAATCTCATTTATATGGAAGGCCGTCTCTGCCATGGGATTAAAAAAAAATAATTAAAAAGGTAATTGCGACTTTTCATCCCAAAATTCAGACTTTTTATTACAATTCTGAGATAAAAAAAATTCAGAATTCCGAGATACTGTAAAAACTCGCAATTCTGAGGAAAAAAAAGAGAATTGCAAAATAAAAAGTTGCAATTAAAACATTTGTTATTCAGTGGTGGGAAAAAAAAAACAGAATTGCAAGGTTTAGGGATGCACCGATATGAAAAGTTTGGCCGATACCGATAACCGATATGATGGCTGATAAATCTATATCCAAATTTGTATATACTTTTTGAGAGCCTGAATACAAAAAAGCTCTCATCGTTAAAAGCCACATCCCAAACACTTCAACATAAGCAGCCTAATTTGAACAGTGTACGTTTTAAAAAATAATTTTACTCTCCCATTACCAAATGTCATAAAAAGTCTTACAAATAAATAAAATAATGCATAAATAATGCAAACAAGTCACTGGACATCATTACACGTGTAAAGAATCAAAATGAATGCGCCATAGATCAATAAAACGGAATAGCCTCTGCACGGACAATAATTAAATGATTTTAATTACTAAACCATATTGTTGATGAAAATAATAAGAGAAAAATAAAAGTGGTTGTTATTATTAATAATGTATCAATGATTTTGAAAAAGTAACAAATTAGTACCACTGTTTTAAATAGCAGCTGTTTGAGCTGCGCGTACTGAAGCTGAAGAGCTGAATGAACACGGTAAACTGAAGCGTTTTGCTGGCAGCTTATTTAACTCAAGGAAATGCATCCTGAGATTAATATTAATACAACATAAACATAATATTACAACTTATATATGTACAAAATGACGCAGTTATTGCGTGCTATAGTCAGAATGTGTGATCCTGTTGTGGATGCGCTCTTCCCATAACAACGCGCTGAAACACAGCAACTAAACCCAAAGAATTCACAACATTTTATTATAATAATGTTCTCATTAGAAAGTTATATACACGACATTCCCAATCATAGTTATTAATGTTGTGCACTGCTGTTTGAGCTGCGTGCGCTGAGCTAAAGATGATCACCGGTAAACTGAAGCGCTCTTTTAACTTAACCAAATGCATTCTATATGAGATAAATTAGATATACATCAAATAAACACAATATTACAACGTACAATTGCACAAAAGGCTGCAAACGAACAGTGCGCATCTGAAGTGTCTCTGAAGGAAAGAATGCATTATTTATTGGCTTTAAGATATCGGCCAAATTTTCTTATCGGGCCGATACCGATAACAGAAAAAAAGAGCATTTATCGGCCGATACCGATATGGTGGCTGATATTTCATGCATCCCTAATGCAAACTCAGAATTCCGAGAAAAAAAGTCACAATTCTATTTATATATCGCAATTTTGAGTTTATATCTTGCAATTCTTGCAAACGTTTTTAGAATTACACAAAAGTTTTGAGAATTGTGAGAAAACAATTTGCAAGGACCTTTTTTATTCCGCGATGGAAACAAAATTCCACACAAAAAATCTAACAAGGACATGTTCAGGTCATATTTCCCCCAAAACCAGAAATAAACAAGAAATTACATTTTGCATAAAGAAAATAAAGCCTATTTTAAGATCATCATGATTTTTTTGTAACATTTTTATGACAAATTGCCAATACTGTAATACAAATAATAATAAATAATGTATGCATCATGATGTTGTTCTGCCTTTTAATTTATTCTGATAAAACACTGTATTACTGTAAAGTACAATGCCTGTCCACAACTGGAATTTGAGGGAAAACGGTCATCGATTCTGGGGTGAAATGTGAGCTGGACATGTTTTCATGAGATTCACTCAGTCATTAAAGTGACCTACTGATGCTAATTGGAAAATTCTGATTGTAGTAACAAAAGAAAGAATTCAAACAGTTTCATAAAACCTCCTAAACAGAAACCGGGAGGAACTGAAATGGTCCCTTAACACAAAGCAAATAAAACATATGCAATTGTTTTTTTTAGAACGACCTAAAAGTGTCTGTTATGGGTTTGAAAATAAATAAAGCTTATAAGTTGAAACACACCTTCACAAATTGATAATAGTTCATCACAGTACAACACAAGCTATATTGCTGACATTTACAAATGTGTAGAAGCACAACCGGCCGGCTGACTGTTAGCATGCATCCCTGAAACTGCTCCAGGTCAGTGTGGGACAGAGTTTCAGCACCTCCAGACCAGAATGTTTCTCATGTACACCAGGACCGGTGGAAAATCACCCGCTAGGGCTCCTGTTGTTTACACAGCACAAGTCAAGCACTCGCAATCAAACCAAACCAACAGCAGCAAGAAGATGAATCAAAGAATCATCATCCGTTTCAGTGCAAATAAACCAGGAACCTTTCAGAAACTCTCACGTCCGGAAGAGTGAATCTCAAAAAGTCTGGTGAGAATTCAACCCAAAAATCAAAAGAAAAGAAAAAACAAAACATGAATTTAAATTTTGCTTAAAAAATGACTATTTTAAGGGTGAAATATAGTTAATTACACTTAAAATGTCATTTTAAAATATAATGTTTAGGTGAAATGACAAAGATTGGAAAAAGAAAAGAAAAACATGGCTAACATTATTAGAAGACTTCATGTAAATAAAAATGAAACATAATAAACCGGTTAACTGTAAGAGTCAGAGAGAGGGTGAAAAATAGTGCTGATTTTTTTTTTTGATAAATGTAAATATAATTTGACAGGTTTTGGTGCACAAAAAAAAATATATTATAGGACTTAACTCCCAATAATCCAAAAAATATATATATTTTGCTGAATAAAAAGAATTTAGAGGTAAAATATGGTTAATTCCAATTTAAAAATGCACATATCTTATTTATTTTTCTTTAAGCAAAATATATTTTGGGGTGAAATATGACCCAGACAGGGGGAAAAAAAATTGAGAACTTAAAGTAAATAAAAAAATGTATTAATTAATTAAATAATAAATATAATGTGACCATTTTGGCGAAAAAAAAAAAAAAACTATTTTAGGGTTGAAATAAGCGTTAAGTACAATTTAAATTTAAAAATGCAACAGACTAATTTATCTCTAAGCAAAATATATTTTTGGGGTTAAATATGACCCAGATTGTTGTTTTGGGTTGAACTGTCCAGGATGTTTTTGTAAGATTCATCCGATAAAGATAATTGATGGCTACAGTATCTCAATGCAGTGTCATGACCTGCGTTCTCTTCCATTAAAACACTTTTACTTTTACTCATTATTATGAGAAGCAAAACAACAAAACACAAGAAATAATTCAGACTTGAATCTTAGTGTGTATCCACAGTCAACGTAAAACAAATGCATAACTCCCAGCGCGACATGAAGCCGTGTTTCTGATGCGACGCTCCGTGACTCGGATCCACAAACTCAGTAGTAAACGCAAGCCTTACAAATCTCTAATATGTTAATGAAGGAACATAAAAGTGAAGTGGGAAGAGATCCTGAAGGTTTCTGGCATCAGTCTTTCTTCTCCTCCTCTGTGTCGTCTTCAGACTGTGCTCCCTTCTGCATTAGTTTCTCCAGCGTGGAGGAAGAAGAGGGCAGAACCTCCTGCTCTCCGTCCTCAGTCTTTCTCTTGGTGCTTTCCTGCACAAACTCCTGGATCTCCAGTGGAAGCCGCCGGAATTTGTCCTGGTATTCCTGATCCAGGTCATTCTGGAGCTGCAAACACAGGCCAAAATATTACAGTTCAAGTCTACAGGGAATCAAAAATGACCTTTAGTGCATCATTCAAAATCGAAATCCTTCCTTTTTTGACTGACAGCAATAGTTTTGTGTACTAGGAAAACAAAACTTCTTCCAAGTCCAAAATGAGCATTTATTGAAACTCAACTGCAAAAATGTTTCATTTCAAACTTTAACAGCCACATTTACACATCAGTGAAACCTATTATATATTCAGAAACAAAGTCAAAGTGAGGTAATAAGGAGGTTAACCAACAATAAGACATAAATAATCAAATATAGAAAAGTCTGTGAAAAAAGCAAATAGAGTCTGACAGAGGGTGGAAAACATCCTGAAAAAATTAATTTGACCGTTTTTGGTGAAAAAAAAACAACTTGACTAACAGTATTAGAGGACTTCAAGGAAAGAAAAATTAAACATAAATAAATAATAAATGTGGAAAAGTCACATTTATTAGGCAAATAGCAGCCTGTTTAATTGTAAGAGACAGAGAGAGGGAGGTAAATGGTCCAGAAAAAAAATAGCAATTTAAATAATTAGATAATACATTTAAATTTATTATACATTTATCATACATTTAAAATAAATTTGATGTTAAAAAACAAAAAAACAAAAACAAACCTTGACTAACATTATTAGAAGACTTCAATTTTTTTTTTAAATAAATGAATAAATAATAAAAGCTGTAAAACTCAAAAAATGTAAAAAGCAAATTAAAATCTGTTTAATAATTGTAAGAGTCAGAGAGAAGGTGGAAAATGGTCCTGCAAATAATGTATTAATACATTTGATCAATTTAAATGTAATATAATAATAAACTTAAATTTATCATAAATTTAAAATAAATTTATCATAATTTTTTAAAATAAATTTGGTGAAAAAACCATCACTAACATTATTAAAGGACTTGAAGAAAAAATGAAAAACTTATAATAAAAGTCAGAAATGTCAATGAAAAAAGCAAATAACAGCCTGCTTAATTGGAAGAGAAAGAGAAAGGGGGAAAATCATCCTGAAAAAAATCCTAGACTAACATTACTAGAGGACTTCAAGGAAAAAATTAGATTGAAAGAACAAAATAATAATAATAATAATAATAATAATAAAGACTCCTGCAAACATCATCATTGTAAAAGTGCACTAATGGTCATGCAGCATTATAAACTGTCTGTCTGACCGCAGCAGACCCTCCGAGTCGATGGCATGGACAGTAAAGTGACACGGGACAGTATTGACAGATATGGATCAATATTCACTAATGCTGCGGCAAATCCAGGCCGTTCAGAGCGCCAGTGCTCAGGAATGACAAATCAACACATCAGCGTAGAGATTTCACCACATCATTCCTGTTATTCACACAAAACACTGAATCTGAATAAAAAACACAAAGGCACATCATTTACAGAGCTCAGGGCTTGCAGGAAGGGAGTCTTGACTTCATGCAATATGATTCAGATCATAGGCCAATCAAAAGAAAGCGGCAACTGGGAGAGATTTCAGATTTGATTGGGAATCAGATCTGTACTGCCATGCTGAACACTGAAAAGCACATTTCCTCTGTTTCTGTATTAAGGGCAACACTAAAAATGTGCCATATGATCAGAGTGAAATTTTCCAGAAGCTTCGCATCTGAGATATTTAAATACTCCTGACAGCTTATGAAATATTTAAAGCGTTAAGTATTTAATATTTTAAGGGTCAGCCCTGAACGAACAGTCTGTCATCGTTCCCTCATGCTGTTAAAAACCTGCAGAAGGTCTTTCAATGATGAGTGAATTTGCATTAACCCTATAAAGCCTACTGTATCATATTTCATATGCAGATTTCCGAGGCCTCTAAATGATCAAAACCTTGCTGTTAAACCTGTTGCACACAATCTACTGCACGTCTTCTGTCGTCTGATTGATAGAGTTATTTATAAAGCTATTTTAGTGTAATTGTACAAACGTCCAGCTTCAGCTGGAGCTTCTCGTGTCAAATCTTGACTGATTTTGATAAAGTAAACGTCAGAATAACTGCAGTAATATCTCCAGATGAACACTTACTGGACTGAAGCAGCTCAGCTTTACTTGATTCTCCATCAATCATGTTTTAGAGTCTCAAATCTGATCCTCAGGATCTTTTGACAAGCGTTTGTTTCCTTTACTTTCACTGTTCCTCAGTCAGGCTTTACAGTGTTAAAGTTACAAAGCATGCTGGTGAATGACAGCTGCAGAAAATCAATGATGATGGTTGTAAAAAATGCATTGATCTACAGTGTCATGATGCAACAAACTCCAAATCTCATCGGTCAAACTTCCTAGAAAGCCTCCACACTGGCTTTCACGAGACGAGTTCTGCTCATATAACAATAACAGTGATCATAATCACCTGCTGTGCTCATTTATGTGACATTAAACTCCAGCTGAGATGACATTTAGAGATCCGGCGCTCTGCTGATAGTTTTGGCTCTTTTTATTTGTTATCATAGTAAAACACAGTAAACTCTTACTTTGGGTTTCTCGTCTAATATCTGCTGCAGGATGCTCTTGTGGGTTTCTACCAGCTTCTCGTGTCTTTTAGTCTGCGCGTCTTCCAGCTAGTGATAGAGAAGACAAACACTGTGAAGTGTGAAGAGTCATGTTTGCTCTGGTTTTTGATGATGAGAAATGAGAAAGTCTTTCACCCTCTTGATGTGCTGCACCACCTCGTTCACATACGACCTGTTGATCTCCAGCTTCTCCCTGAAACCAGACAGAGACTCTTACAGTGTCATGCGAGGCGTTTAACAGTGTTTTATTGCCATCTAGAGGACCGTTTTAAAAAGAATCATCAAAAATCCTTCCATTCCCTTTCTTTAATTGCCTCCCAGAACATTAATAAAAAATAACCTGAAAATAATCTTTTTTCTCTCTCTCTAAAGAGATCTGCAATTAGTTTGAAGATGATTATTTTATATTAGCATTATATAGTATAAACTGTGTGTAATGTATTAATGTTTTTGTAATATTACACATACTGTATAGTATAGAGCAAAAACAATAATATTAATGAATTTATGTTTCCATACACATATACAGAAAGTATGATAATATTCTTAGATTATTATTTAAAATTAAATTCAAATATATTACATCATTTTTAATCATTTGTTGTATTATTTATACAAACATACACACACACACACACACACACATACTCACATATATATATATATATACAGTGGGTACGGAAAGTATTCATATATATACACACACACACATATATATATATAGATTCACTAAAAAGTATCATATTGACCAACACTACAAGAGAGATTGCAAAGCATTTTTTTTCGTGTTATTTACATACTTTTATAGTCTTTTTTTTTAGTTTTAGTTCTAGTAGTTTTGTTGTGCTTTTTGTGATTTTCTTAGTTTTTAATATTTCTATATAGCTTTATTGTAGTTTTAGTGTTAGTAATTTTAGTACTTCAGTTTATTTCAGTTAGTTGCCAAGGCAAGTACACACACACATTTTTATACATGCGCGCACACACACACTCACATATATATATATATATATATATATATATATACACCTGTACACATATACAGAAAATAATAGAATAAAAAAACTATGACAGGTAATTCCAATAAAATTATAATATATTACAATATAAAACAATGCAATATATATATATATATATATATATATATACAGGATAT